TCTGTGCCAGATCTTCGAACCCTCCACAAAGCCGCCGTCTTCCTCCCATCTCTGGCCGCATCTATGACCGCCACCACCCTCAAGCCAAGCTCAGCGCCGCCTCCCTCACAACTCCGATCTAGCAGCCCCTGATGCAGCATAATTATGTACCAAAATTATAAGTGCACAATTTATCAAGTTATAGTATAAAAATATCGATCCCACGAGGAAGGTGATTTTAAGAGATTATTAGAAATGGTTCTTATGTTTTGTGCATGACAATTAGGAATAAAGAATAAGTGTGTGAATATTTGCAAAAGATAATAAATTGAATTTTAGAGGAGAGAAGGAAGAATTAAAGAATAAATGAAATCACAAGGCAAGAAATATGAATTAATAAAATCAAGAAATAAAACTAAGAATGAAAAGAAAATTTAAGAAAGTCAAGATGGAGGATTCAAAAGAGGTAAGAAATCTAGAATATAATCCACTAACCAATTTCAATTACAAAATATAAACTATTCTCTTTTTATCATATTTCAACTTAGATTTATTAAGCATAGATTATCAAACCATTTAAGGAAAGTGTAACCTATCAAATTATCATCTAAGTCAAAATTATTATTCATGATAAGAACAACAACATGATAATAATCCTAGAATTCATAAGCATAACCTATCAAACCATTTAAGATAAGCATAGATTATCAAATTCTTCTTCTACCGATTAGTTCTCTAGTTGATTATCCTAAACATGAACATTTTAAGTACAAGAGAATAATTCATATAATATAAAAGAAATTAGACTAGTTTCATATAATTCTAAACTTCCTACAAGAATTAAATTCACATCTTTAAGAAATAAAAAATAAGAAAAAGAACTAATTACAAAATTAAAAAGAAAAGAAAAATCTAAACTATGAACAAGAAATAAATCTAATTACAAAGAAAATAAAAATCTAAACTACAAAATAAATTGCAGAAATTAAATGCAAGAAAAATAAATCTACTCTACAAATTAAAGTGCAAAAAGAAAATAAAAAAGACAAGAAAGTAAATCTACACTACAAGCATGAATTTAAATCTAACTAATAAGCAATAATAAAGAAATTACTAAAAAGAAATAAAAGAGAAAAGAAATGCAAACCTTCAAATTGCTCTTCATCTCCATCCTCATCATTCAACAAAGAGGAGAAAGAACAAATTTAAAGAGGAAAAAATTATTTTTATTAATTGCAACTAAAGTTACAATTTTTGGAAGGCCTTCTCAATTAAGAGTAGCCCTCCTCTCCAAAAGGAGTTTACAAAATTTTCACACCTCTAACCCCTCACTCTCTACCCCTATTTATAGTAATCTTCAATGAATATGAGCCATTGGATTTGTCTTGAGCTCCAAGTAACAATCTCCACCTTTGAATTTGCTTTTTGGTTCTTCTTTAGCCCATATGATTTCTTTGATTTTCAAAAGAAAATCAAATCAATTTTTCGGCAGCCCAATAATTTCCAAATCCAGTCCGGCCCATTGAAATGATTTCCTCATTTGATTTAATAAAACCAAGAGCTGCAGCAAAGTCCAAGTCTTGATGAAAGAAACAAAGCTCATTTTATATTTGAAACAAAGCTCATTCTTTGATTTTCTTTGGCCCATCTTCATTTTGATTTTTCAAGTCTCCGGCCCAAACAAGTCCGGCCCACTTGTTTGCAGCAATGAAGTCCACATGTTTGATTTTGTAATCTTTGCATAAAAGTCCATTCCATTCCACTCTTTGCATCCAAGTCCATTCCATTGCTTTTCTTGGTGTATTTATTTTTCTTGATGGGCTTTGGCTTCAAAAAATGCTACAAAATAGAGAAGAGAGATTTTTGAGGGGTTTTTACATTTAATAATATTTATTCATATTTTCATTCAATTATGTGCAAACTAATCTAACAACAATTATTAATGGTATATTTATTCATGTAAAATAGATAATGAGGGTATAAAATTATAATAAAATATGATGTAAATTAAGAAAATCCATCTATGGACTTGTTATAGGATGTCCCCTACCCTTCGCAAATATGCAATCCCGGGAGCCGTCACTCCCCCAGTCGGGTTAGTATCATTCCTCAAAGGCGACTTGATGAGCGGACTCAGTCGATCCTTTTCATGTCAAAGGATTACCACCCAGCGTTAGCCGGCACTCCTCCCAAGGACAAATTGAAATATTACTTAACAATATTTAACCTTAGATGATCATCATTATTTTTCCATTCTCAGCCATCTGAAGCCTCGTCGTCTGTTGGTTCCCCGTATCGCTGAATTGACCTCCCGTCACTCACTGACAAGCGTCGTCGGCTGCTGATTCCTAATATTGTTGAAGTGACCTCTCATCACTCACAAACCAACACATATGAAGCAAAGGGTGACTCAGCCTCTAGCTCACTCCTCACCGTCATTTTACCATACACTCATGAAGTGACTAATTTGCCCTTGGCCTTCTCTATAAATACAGACACTATTCTCCATAAAGGAGGTTCAGTTTTTCGCAATCAAAAACCCCCAAAAAGCACATACTATACAAAGAGAAGAACACACTGTTCTTCCTTCACCCCACCCAAGTTCACCAACTGACTTAATCATCGGAAGTACTATTCGGTGGAAAAATTCGATGTAAAAGAAACGAAAGAAAAATTGATCTTAATTCTCTCAAAATCGATTACAATTAGATTCTGATTACAAAAGAGAGGAGAACGAATTTGGTTCTCCCCTTTGTTTAAAACTGGGTTCTTCTCGGTAGCGATGGAGTGCCTCCTTCGAATGCTTGCGTCGAATTTGCTTTCCGTTGACGATCCGAATATCTTGATTCACTGGAACGATGTCTTCTCCTCACGATTTGACGTTGTGGAGAACTTGCGTGGTAAGTTCTAGAACTCTGAATGAGTTGATAACTCTGAACGAGTTTAAACTCTTGAAAAAGAGTTGATTTGAACCGAGAATCGATTCTCAAGCCAAGGCCGAAGGCTTCAAGGAATGCTCCAAAGGATGAATGCCGATCTCTCAATCTATGATGCTCCAAGATCTCCCCCTTTGCTGCCAAGAAGTTCCAACAGACCGCTGCCAACTCTCAGATCCAAAAAATGCCAGCCTGAACTCCATTGAGTTTACCCATATTTATAGGGAATTAAGGGGTGTAACCGCCCCCTTAATTCTCTCCATAATGGGTTTGAGAGGGGTGTAACCCCCCCCCCTTAATTCGTTCCTAAGTGGGGCAGAAATCCCTCAGATTATGGAGGGAAAACGGTTCCTACAACCGTTCAGCTTGTGTTTGAACGAGTCAAACGCCCACGTTGGCATTCAGGACCCTAACTCCGCATTTTAGACTAGAGACGTGGAGTTGGGTATCCGCTGGGCATTGAAAAACGCGGGTCCAACCCCAGCGTTTTAATGTTGTAACGCGGGTGTATGCATATGTGTGTATGTGTGTGTGTGTGTGTGTGTGTGTGTGTGTGTGATGTGTGCGTATGTATGCATATATATGTGTGTCAGTGTGTTTAATTCTTATAATAAACAGAGATTTCATATAGATGCATACATACACATCTACATGCATTCAAGAGTTGAAGCTATTATCTCTAATAAATAATTATATAGAACATATAATGATTACATGACTGCTACTTTTTTGGCCTATCATACAGTTTTAAGACTTTGCAAAAGGGACATGACTTTGCTCTTCAACTTGAGAAAATGCTTGACATTATCTAAACTTAGATTTATACAAATCAATATCTTATAGCAGTTTCTACTACATCCTCTAGTGCAAAAATGAAAATAAATAGCTTTTTATATCCTAACAAGCAAGCCCCTCATACGAATGGGTCATAGTAACTCGGCTAATAAGATGACCAAAAGAAGAGTACAAACAATAGAAACACTACATGATAACAGGCTAATAAGAGCTAAGAATAAATTCCCAACATGATAACAGGCTAATAAGAGCTAAGATAATTAGTTAACCTGCATTTTCTTGGCCAATTCTAGCTTTTGTTTCTTAGTCTCATCGTCATCGTACCCCTTCTTAAATTGAACCATCGTTCTCCTGTGCAGTTCTGGTAGTGGGATAAAGGGAGCGTTCTGAGATTTAAAAATATATTTATTAGTTTTATTTATTAAATATTCTAAGAAGCGGAGAGAATATACAATGATTATTAAAAGACTTTATACCGTTGTCCTACAAAATTGATCCTCAATCTGGGCAAATGAAGTAGTCCCCGTATGATGATCATAATCTTTTTTCCATCGATTAAGTTTATTTCTCCTACATTTTTCCTTCAACATGAACAAAGAGAATGTTAGTGCATGGTATAATATACAATGGAATATATCACTAGTTTCAGATAAATAACTTGATAATAATTAACTACTATACATATTTACCTGGTGCTCCTCTTGGCCCCACAATATTATAAGTGCAGCTAAGTGTGTAGGTAGGAAAAATTGCAATGAAAAGAATAAAGAAAATTGATTTGTATTTCTTTGATTCCGATTACAACTTGATTACAAAAGAGAAGAGAACGAATTTGGTTCTCTCCTTTGTTTAAAACTGGGTTCTTCACGGTGGCGATGGAGTGCCTCCCTCGAATGCTTGCGTCGAGTTTGCTCTCCGTTGACGATCCGCACGTCTTGATTCACTGGAACGATGTCTTCTCCTCACGATTTGACGTTGTGGAGAACTTGCGTGGCAAGTTTAACTCTTGAAAAAGAGTTGATTTGAACCGAAAGTTCGGTTGATAAGCCAAGGATCAAAGCTCTCTGTTGTCGAAGTTGAAGATAATCTTCGTTGGAGGATGATGCTGATCCCCTCAAAAGCTCGCCCAAGGATCTCTCCTGTTGCTGCTAATTCTCAGCTCTAAAAAGCCAGCCTTCTATGGTCGATTCAAGCCAAGAAAAATCCAACCATGCTGCCAACTCTCAGATCCGAAAAAATGCCAGCCTTCAATGGTCGATTCCAGCCAAGAAAAATCGAACCCTCAACTCAGTTGAGTTTGTTGAGTTTTTATAGGGGGATAAGAGGTTGTAACTGCCCTCTAAATCCGCTCCTAAGTGGCCGAAAATCCCTCAGAACGTGGGATAACGGTTTTGAGGCCGTTCAGCTTGTGTTTGAACAAGTCAAAATGCCCAATCTGGCGTTCAGAACCTAACTTCGCCTCTTAGAATTGAGACGCGAAGTTGGGTGTTGGCTGAACATTGATGAACGCGAGGGTCGCTCACGTTTTGGTTTGTTGTAGCTTAGAAACGCGGGGGTCGGTGTTGGCTTCGTCATCGTACCCCTTCTTAAATTGAACCATCGTTCTCCTGTGCAGTTCTGGTAGTGGGATAAAGGGAGCGTTCTGAGATTTAAAAATATATTTATTAGTTTTATTTATCAAATATTCTAGGAAGCGGAGAGAATATATATAGAAGATTAAAAGACTTTATACCGTTGTCCTACAAAATTGATCCTCAATCTGGGCAAATGAAGTAGTCCCCGTATGATGATCATAATCTTTTTTCCATCGATTAAGTTTATTTCTCCTACATTTTTCCTTCAACATGAACAAAGAGAATTTTAGTGCATGGTATAATATACAATGGAATATATCACTAGTTTCAGATAAATAACTTGATGATAATTAACTACTATACATATTTACCTGGTGCTCCTCTTGGCCCCACAATATTAGACAGCCTACAAAGTGCTCAGGCTCAACCCTCTTATCTCGCTTGTATATCCTCTCCCAGTTGTGAGTGAAACAATCAAAGCATTTCTTCTTTATCTCATGTCTCCACTCCCGAAGAGAATGCATGAACTTTCCCTGGTATCCAAATAAAAATTCCCACCCTACGGGATTGTCTTCGATGTTGAAATATCTCTAAAAAATAAAATATAGTTAAGCATGGACAATTGACAGAATTGAAAAATAATTGTGCTAAATATAAGAATTTACCCAACAATCTCGATATATACTCTCCAGGACATGAAATGGCTGCTCCCAAGCCTCGTAATAGGGATTCACATTATCACTCCTCCGTATCAAACATCCAAGGTATGAGCTGAAGTTATTAGCCCACTGTCCGGTTGGAATCCCATTATGTCCCCATCTCACAATTGCTCGAAAACCATCCGGTGGTAACTTTTTTTTAAAGTCACTTCCTTGGCGTCCTTTCTTCTGGTAAAGTTTTTCACCTACAAAAAAGAAATAATAGATATATCAACACTTTTATTTAATCAACACTTTTATTTAAGCTCTTAGAATTTACTAAAAAAGGAAGAAGAAAAATTCTGGAATTGATTAAGTTTTTGATCAAACTCACCAAATCTTTGTCTGATTTCATTTTTTGCATCAGACAAAATCTCATCAATCTGTGGGGCCCATTCATCTAATCTTTTTTTCGCAAGCATGTATTTTTCGTTCTGCTTGAGTCTGTACCCCTCTGCACATGCTGGTAAGGGCCCGCGCTCAATCCCAGGAATGTATGCTCGAAGTATAACTGGAGGATCTGCATATAATGGTATGTGAGTCGGCTCTTCCTCACCCTCACCTATAAAAATAAAAGAAATAAATTATCATTGTGCATATATCATGAATAAAAATACGTAAGTTAAACTAAGTTATACCTGACATCTCTCCTGAACTCGGAGGCTCTTCATCAGTGGATTGGTCTTGACTGGGGTTAGCTTCGAATAACCTCCTGTTAATATTTTTAGACATCTGCAAGTTGAATAAACATACAAATTAATATAACATAGATGCAAATTAGCTTGGCGAAAATAAAAACAATATGTATTGTTGCGTTACTAAATTTTTCATTTCACATCAAGTTTGTAGGCATTTGCAAGCTGAATATACAAAATAAGATATTACATATTTATATCGTCCAAAAGGTAATTGAGATACATTGTAGTGATATTAAAGTTTTTATTATACAATTTGCAAACTAAAAAAAGTTACATAAAGACCCGATTACAAATAATTGCTGTTTAGCTCCTATTAATGTCTGTGATAATATTTGGAATGTCTGTCCGAGTTGTTGGAGCATCCGTTTCAAACACTACGTTTTGAGGGTACGAGAATTCATCGATCGCTGTATTTGGCTCATTGAAGTTGTTTATATAGCTCTCGTCATCATCTTCATTAGTAGAAGGTTGAATATAAGCCCTAGAATCCTTGTACAAGACAACCCACTCGTCTTTAACTGTAGGATCTTTCACATAGAAACATTGTCCCACCTGAGATGCAAACATGAATTTTTCATCACTATCAATTTCTTTATCGAGATTGACAATTGTAAATCCAAAGGGATCCTTTTGAGTCTTTGTAAAACACCAACGAATCATGAACATCATGTATTTATGTTCATTTGGACCACCATAGCCGTAGAATATCTCCACCACATCTTCCAACCTTCCATAATATGTCATATTATTTTCAACTGGATTCTGATCTCTTCTGTTTGAGAAACATTCCCGTGAGAAGGTAGCCATGACACCACTATTCTGGGTGACCTTCGTATCACCAACCTCCATCGTGTGAAATTTATAACCGTAAACACGATACCCACCATATTGAATTACAGCATAGTAAGGTCGCTTTGCGTGAACCTTCACTTCTTCTGATATTTGATTATTAAGGACAAGTTGTTCCTGGATCTAAATATATACAAAAATAAGCAAACTATTAAATCAAGACATTTCTAAGTTTTTTATCAATGAAATACAAATATCGCTAAATTTAACAATACTTACTTCACTATTCAACCAAGCAGGGAATTCCTTCATATGCCTTTCTTTAATGTCATGTACAGCTGTACTACCGGTAACTTCATTCTTAAGTTTTTCCTGATGTTGCCTATTAATGTGCAAAATTTAATTATTATTGTCAAAATAAAAATTTTGTCAAAATAAAAATTAAAGAGTAAATGGTATTAAAAATTCTTTTTAGATATTTTACCTCCGGTACTCCGAGAAGATTTCAAGATTATTTACAACATATGCATGCGCTTGATCTAACAATATGTTAGAATAATTTTTGTTCAGCCCGCGAGGATAGAGAACTGTGTACTCCTTATTATCAACGGGTGCTTGAAGTTCAGTTTGTTCCCCTCTCATATAACGAGAGGCAAATAAGAGACACTCGCTTCTCACGTAACTTTCAGCTATTGAACCTTCTGGGCGAGCTCTGTTACGCAATTGACGCTTCATTGAACCCAAATATCTAAAAAAGGAATATTAATCAGATATAGATGTAAAGAAATTTACATTTAATAGATATAAATATTAATAGGTAACGATTAAATTTTTCTAAATACTAACCTCTCTATTAGATACATCCAACGATAATGGACTGGTCCTGCTATTGCAGCCTCCTCCGCGAGATGATGTGTAAGATGAACCATTATTGTGAAAAAAGATGGAGGAAAGAGCATCTCCATTTCACACATTGTTTCAGAAATATTTTCTCCAAGTTTCTCAAAGTCACGGGCGTCTATAACTTTAGAACAAAGCTTTCTGAAAAATCCACAAAAATCAATAATAACCTTCACTGTTTTTTTATTCTGCATAGTACTGCGTAGTGCCACAGGTAGCAATTGATGAAGAAGCACGTGATAATCATGAGTTTTAACGGAGCATCTCTCTTCTCAATAGTATCATCAAAAAACTTGCTCCATTTTTTTGTTCTGTACCTGTGTTTTATGTTCAACCACCTTCTATTAAACCAATAACAAAACTTTCGACTGTGCTGCAGATAAAGACCTTTGAATTCTGGACCACACACTGGACATGCATATGTTCCCTTTGTAGACCAACCTGAAAGATTCGCATAGGCTGGAAAATCATTAATTGTCCATAGTAAAATAGCACGTAGTCTGAAAGACTGCTTTGCATGAGTATCATAAGTCATAACCCCTTCAGTCCAGAGTTGTTTTAACTCATCAATTAGCGGTTCTAAAAACACATCTATGTCATTGCCTGGTGCATGCTTGCCCGGTATCAATAATGAAAGTATCATATACGGTTGTTTCATGCAAAGCCAAGGTGGTAAGTTGTAAGGCGTTAATACCACAGGCCATGTAGACCAACCAGAACTCATTATCCCAAATGGATTGAATCCGTCGCTAGACAAACCTAGTCTAACATTCCTGCACTCATTCGCAAACCAAGGAAAAGTTCTATCCATATGCTTCCACGCCTCTGCATCAGCCGGATGTCTGATTTTACCATCATCAGTACGTTCTTCCATGTGCCACCTCATTTGCTTAGCAGTGTCTTTATTCATATACAACCGTTTTAGCCTTGGTATTAAGGGAAAATGACGCAGGACCTTTGCTGGAATCTTCTTTTGCTTAAGCATAGACCTTGTTGTCCCATGTGTTGAATAATTTTTGCGTTGTACCCACCGTGATACTCCACAAATTGGACACTCCTGAAGATCTTTGTTATCCTTATAGTAGAGGATACAATCATTAGGGCATGCGTCGATTTTATTGTAATCAAGTCCTATAACGGAAACAATCTTCTTTGCGTTATCATAATTTTCTGGTATGCTATCTTTTCCATTTGGAATGACTTTTCTCAGCAACACAAGCAACATATTAAAATATTTATCCGCCATTCCGCTAAGAGACTTTATATGCAAAAGACGGAGCATAAATGATAACCTGGTGAACTCGGTACAACCCTCATACAGATCATTTTCATTGTCGTTATGATCAGTCATGCCTCCAGCATTTCCTGACTCGTCAGCATCCTCGGCATCTTCAGATTGATCTATATTAGGAACTGTTAACATATCCGCGAGCATCGTATGTGTATCATCTATTCTCGTATCATCTATTCTCCCACCGGACGTACCGGTATCCGCCATCAGTTCCATTTCTTCAAGGCATCCTTCCCCATGAAACGTCCAATATTTGTACTCCTCATGAAATCCGGATATTAAGTGTTTTTGTAAATCACTTTTATCCACCAACGCCCTATTTTTACACCAACAGCAGGGACAATACACGACATCACTATTTAACTTCCGTGGGTCTGCCAAGGCGTACTGTATGAATTGATTTATTCCATCTTTATATCGACTATCCCTCCATCTATCAATACGAGGAATATCGATCCATGATTTGTCTGGAACTATCCTCATCTGTATGATATTAAGCATAATTAGGTAATGTGAATTTTTATTAGTAACGCATCAAATTAACGGTTGCGTGATATTAACTTTCTTCACGGCATCAAGGAAATTCAAATTATAATTATCTCGGAGGAAAAATTACCAGAACATAAATTATATGGGAGTAAAATCTAACGCTCATATTTTCAATAA